AATGGCAGTGTAAATAATGCATGGCCTCTAAATTGAAAACACCAGCTTGTGCAGCCCCAGCTCTCCCCCCACCCTGCTTGTCACTGTGCCATTTGTTTAGAAGGTGATTAGTCTGACGCGGGCATCTCTTACCAGCTGGAGAACCGGGAATTGGAAGGATCTCAGGACTCTGTGTGTCTCTGCAAATGTAGGAGAATTGAAGCAGACACCTTGCAGCAGGGGACTTTCTCCAGGTCAGGGACCTGAAAGCTTTAAATCTTGGTATAGCCCCATCATAGAGTCCTGTATTGTCTGAGTGACACAATCACGGACTCTGAGACGAATAGAACCTCATGCTTCTGAATCTTTGGCAGTGTCATCTTTGAACAGAAAAGGGCAAGAAAGGTGTGGAGGGTTGCAGCAGAAGAGAGGTTAGAATAACCAGGTGAGATGTATTCAGATTAGTGTGATAGAGGCAGAAAGGTACACTGAAGATAATAAAATGGTGGGATGAGTGATCTACAGAGGTGCGTACGGAAGATTACTGCTGTGGGAATCCAAAGGACTTTTACTGGTAGAGGGTGATTATTGGGGTGAGGTGACTGAGTCAGGACATTTCAAGGGAACTTGCTAGATGGCGTCTTTTCCTCCTCTGGACCCCTAATGCCTGGCCCAGAGCCTGGCACAAAGTGGAGGCTGATTGATGTTGGTAGAATAAGTGGATGAATGAATGCCTGAGCACGGCACTGGGGAAAGAGGCAACAACTCTCCCTGCTTCTAGAGAAAAATTGTCAGTCTCAGAAATAAGAAAGAACCAAGGCTGGTAGCTGCAGCCCCCAGGCATCATGCACTCACTATGCAATGGGCATTGTACAAAGTATCAGAATTACACGAATCATCTCATTTTATTTCTCCCAACAGTCCTACGAGAAAGGTATGATAATTACCCCATTTTGTAATCAAGAAAACCAATACTTTACAGAAGTTAAATTACACACACAGCTAGTAGGTGGTGAACCTGGAATCCAAACCCATGAAGCTTTTAAAAAACCATTCTCAGTGGTTCTTCATCTGCAGTGATAGATATTCATATCCTCTATCTCTCTCTGGGTCTGTCTCTGAATCCCCACCCATCCCTTCCTCCCCATCCCTCTTTCTCTGCTGCTGTAGGATTCCTTTGACGCTAGCAGCACTCGTGCACCAGGGTTAGGAGATAAACTGCCTCTACATAGGGTAGCATGTGATGAGTCGGCAGGGGCAGGAAAGCATTGCCAGTGTGAGCTGCCATGCCCAAACCCACAGGCCCTGCCTTTTTTCTTTTTAAAAAAATTGAATAGGGAAAAAAAACAAGTGGAGGACAGAGGACAGAGCAGGCACAAAGGCAGAGCATAAGAATTACTTGGAGTCCAGGGACTGGGGTTGGTGGGTTATGCCCTAGGTGGGTCAGGGGTGAGTCAGACTCAAAAGTGAGAGCCAGATCCAGGCAACACTGTGGCCCGCAGTAGCCCTGCCCAGCATCCAGCAGGAGGGCTCAGTTCAGCAAGCTGCCTCCACTTTCTGCCTCTCGGGAAGCATCTAGTGACTGATGGTTGTCAGGGCCCTCTCCGTTTTTCTGTTGGCTTGGAAGGGGTTTCTGTTTTGTGTTGGGAGTCTACGGCTGATCTGTGAAGAGACAGAAATGGATTTCGGCTGGCTTGCTTTTGGTGCGTTCAGCCAGAGGCCTCTCACGGAACTGGAGCTGCGGGCGTGCAAGGGTGTGCTGAGAAGAGCGCCCCCTTCTGGCGAGACACCGGGAGAGGTTCGGGAGCTCTTCCTGCACATCGCCCTGCACTAGAGTGGGCCATGCTTTCTTTACCTGCACACGTGCTAGCGTGAAATGTGCTTTTGTGGACACTGCCTGCTCAAATGGGCTCTGTGGCCGAGAAAGCTGGCTGGTCAGGAGTCAAGGGCCCTGGGATGAATTCTCAGTTCTTCTCTCACCATGTTAAGCAATTTGGGGCAAGAAGTTTAACCTCTTGTTTAGCCCCGTTTCCTCCCTGTCAAGTTGCTGGTGAGATTGGACGAAATATCTCTCCCATGCAAATAGTTTTCTGATGCACTCCCTTTCCCAGCAAATACTCACAGGGTGCTTAATCTAACCCAACCCTGCCCTGGGTCAGGTGGTTTGCTGGGGAGATTAAACAAGAACAGACGGGTTAGGATGAGAATCAATGCTTTTAAGAGCGGAGCAAAGACCTTTGAATGTGTGAAGACAGGAGTAAGTGCCTCTGCTGGGCTGCCCCAGCAGTGGGAACTCTGAAGCCAGATGGTCTTGAATTGAATTCTGCATCTTCCTTTAACAGCTCAGTGACCATGGACAAGTTAATGAGAGTTCTTACCTGATAGGGTTATTTGGAGGATTATATGAAGAATCCAGGTAAGAACCTACAATAAGCCAGGCATGGCAGCACATGCCTGTAGTCCCAGCTACTGGGGGAGGCTAAGGAGGATGGATCACTTGAACCCAGGAGTTTGAGGCTGTGGTGAGCTGTGAGGGTGCCAGCCTGGGTGACAGAATGAGACCCTGACTCAAACAACAACAACAACAACAAACCCCAGCAATATCAACAAAACAACCAAAAAGAACCTACAATAGTGCCTGGCATACAGTAAGTGCTCACAAAGCGTCAGCTATTATTGAGGATATTGAGGGCTTCTTATAGAGAGTAATCTAATTCCTCCTAATCCTTCCCTGTGTAAGAAAGAAAGAGGAAAGGAGGAAGAGAGGAAGCCCAAAGAGGTGGTCACTAGTTTGTATCTGGTGCCTACAATGTGACTTCCAGAATCACTCCATGAGGCAAATGGGGTCCCTATAGGGACAAGTTGACTGTAGCTGCAGCCCTGACCTGCCTCATATGGGTGGAGCCAGGATTTGGATCCAGCTCTGCCTCAGTGGGGAGAGGGGTCGTGGTTGTGTTTGCAAACACACTGTTTGTTCCCCTTATGCTTCTGTGGGGGGTGGCCAGCCCACGCTCCCTCTCCCAGACTTCTTCCCGCCTCCTGCATTGCTCTCTGTGTGGGTGACTCGACAGACAGCCATGCACAGACTTTCCAACTCCCCAGCGTTACCTGCAGGTCCCAGTGGGAGGCTGGGATGGCAGGCTTCCAAAGCTCCCAGCATGCCGCCCCCGGTACTGGTTCTGGAAGCTGTCATTGCCTCTTTAGAGCACATAATTAACTGGACTCCTGGCTAGGCTTCATTTCATTCTTTCTGAGATTACCATTCTTCACCCTTAGTTGTCATTGCTCTGTAGTGTCGGGGACTTGGTCATAGGCCTCTCACCTCCTTCCCACCATGTCTCTACTTCCTCTCTTCTTCTTCTTCCCTCTTAGACTTTTGATGGGAAGGGGATAACAACTTGATCAGAAAAAACTGTAGAAACTTGTTTCACAATAAAACTTCAGATTCTTCCTTAACAGAAGTTCATAGAAGGGAAACATTGGCGTGGACTCTGACATGACGAGAGTTGGAGTAGGTTTCCCAAAGGAAGGTTGGGCAGAGAGAGGGGAGGGTTGGAGTAGGTTTCCCAAAGGAAGGTTGGGCAGAGAGAGGGGAGGGTTGGAGTAGGTTTCCCAAAGGAAGGTTGGGCAGAGAGAGGGGAGGGTTAGGCCATATGGCGGGTATCCAGTAAGAGGCACAGCTAAGCCATGGCACAAAGGTGGAAAGCACAGTCCTCGTGAGACTCAGGGAAGAGACTCCTGTGGCCCTGGGCTTCTAGGCAGGGCTGGGGCTCTGAAGGGAGTTGGGAGATGGAGGCTGGGTTCCAGGGCTAACAACCATGTGATGCCGGGCAGCTGTCTTCTGCTCTGGGTCTATTTTACAGGGCTTGTTTGAAGATACAAATGCATGAGTGTGAGGGCACTTTCTACACCACAGAGTTATAATGATGATCATGGCTGTTGGAATGAACTGTATAGAACAGGTATGGGGCGAGTGCAGTTCAGAAGTCTTCTGCCTTCATTTCTTTCCCACATGACTCTCAACTCCAGGCAGGCCAGTAACCTCCCTGAGCAGAACATTCTCACAATGTTACTTCTATCTGTAGTGCCTTGTACCTCCTCTCTGCTTTGCTGAATAGTCTTCCTTCCAGGACTCCTTTCTCCTGAAAGACTTCCCTGATTACTCTAATGCTGTGCTGTCCAATACACAGCCACTAGTCACATGTGAGCACTTAAAATGTGGTCCATCTGACTGAGATGCGCTGTGTGTGTAAAATACAGTACTGAAACAAAGAAGGAAGGAAGGGAAGGTGGAGGCAGGGAGAGAAAGATGGAAGGAAGGAAAAAATGAAGGAAGGAAGTCATCTTACACAACCCATAACACAGCCTCCTCATTCTGTCCGTGCTGTAGCTATCTGTACCCAGTTCCTTTCCCTGTCATCACATATTGCCAGACTCCCCTGGAATGAGGACTCCGGAATGAGGACTCCATGACAGGTAGAGGATCCTGACTTTGAATAGAGATCCTGCTTAGATGGCGTAGATCCCAGTGGTTTCTTGGTGTTCACTGTCTCATAGGGGCAAAGCTGGACTTGAGCCTCCAAAGTAGACATGTTCATCTTTACCCTGTTCCCTGTCTTCATATCCCTTTTCTTCCCACAGATGCAAACAGACTCTCCCTTCCCCTTGTGTCTCCATTTTAGCATCTCTTGCTTGGTACTTCGGTGCTCTTCCTGGACCTGAGGAGTCTCTTTGATCAAACCATTCCCCACCCCAGGACTTCCTTTCTTGCTTTCGGTTAAGGAGCTAGCAGCAGCTCAGCAGTGCTCAGGCCTCTCCCACAGTATAATCAAAAGGAACGGGGCTGTCTCCTAATACTGGGGAACCTTGATCCCTGGAGCCCAAGAGCGCTATAACATCATGATATAATTTCTCACAACAAACACTCAGCAATGTCTTTGTTGAGTAAAAGAATAAATGTAAAATGAATGTATGAAGTAGGGCAGGCGCTAATCCTTAAAGACAAGCAGAACACCTTCAGGATGTCTGCAGTAATGAAAGGCATTCTGGAACCAGGGTACACCAAGGGTGGAGGCAGGGATATGGGGAAACAGGAGACAGGGAGACCTGGAAACTTAGGTAGGCTTCAGAGTAGAGAGAGCTCCAAGAGCTCCCTCCACTAGGAGGACCAGCCCAGGCTGAGTGGGGTGAGAGGGCCTCACCTCCATCATCTTTTCCAAGATGTTGGCTTCCTTGTGATCCTCTGGGCCACTCTAGGAGTGAAGTGGTATGAATGTCTCCTTCCTTCTCTCCCTTCCTTCCTTTATCCCTTCCACACAAATATTCATGTAATACTTACTGTTCTAGGTTTCAGGATACAACAGTGAATTAATTGGCCAATATGCTGTCTTTCTAAAGCCTATATTCTAGTGGAGAAAAAATAAACATATACACATCATGGGGTGATGAGTGCTGTGGAAAATAGACGGTGAAGGAAGTGGGTGAGGGGAGAACTGCTGTCCTATGGAGGGGGACCAGGGAAGGCTCTTCTGCAAGGAGACACTTGAGCAGAGGCTTTGGGGAAGCCTGCCAGCCACACAGAAAGGTCTGCAGGAGCAAGGCCCTAAAGTGGGAGTGCTGCCCACGGGTGCTGGGCAAGGGTCTGCCACCGACCTCACCCTGCTTAGGCATCAGAGACTCTATGAAAACAGAGGTGCAGAAAGCATGAGTGCCCGTATTCCACACGAGGACGGCTAGGCTGAGAGGTGAAGAAGTACACTCAAGGTCACATGGCTGCTAATCAGCAGAGCTGAGTTTCACGCTCTCATTTGTGGAGTTTTTCCACAGCAGCCTGATCATCCCCATCTGAGATCATCAGACCAGAGAATTTTATTTGTGTGGTTAGCCGCTGCCCTGGCGGCCTCCCTCCATGATTTCTCTGCAAGATGAAGGTGTGAGCCCAGGGCCTCCCTGAGTGAGCCCCTGTGGTGGTGCTGTGGTGCAGACGCATCACCTGCTGACAGGAGCCCGCCCGCTGAGCCCTTTCTCCTCCACCTCTCCTCTCCATTAGGCAGCGCTGCTCCATCCCAAGCGCACAGTCTCTAGACAGCCATTTAGTTTTTAATTGATGCCAATGTTTGGCAGCTCCCCTGGCCTTTCCTTCTGCTCAGCCTTTCTCTTCACCCTCCCTCTCGCTTTCTCTTGTTCTCTGTGTGCCTTTGGTCCTGTCTCTCACCTTCTGCATTTGGTCTGCTTCTCTGCCTGTGCTCCGTCTGCCTCTGTGTGTCTGTTCGTCTTCATGAGTGTCTCCCTACCTCTGTCTGCCATTTACCTGACCGCCTTATGCCCCATCCCATTCCCCTGGGTGTTGATCCTTCTCTTCCTGCAAGTTTCACTATTCCCAACCCAAGTATTACCTAATCCTGACATGATAGCTAAACCTGGTGTGAGCCGTCACACATGTACACACTCCCGTGAGCCTGCCAACCATATACTGGCAAAAGACTGTCATTCATTCTTGTGGAAGGATCTCCAGAGTCACTCAAGATGGTCTTGGAGCAGAGTCGGGGCCCTGAATAGGCCTCAGAGGAGGCTGATTTGAGGTTGCTCCTCACTGTAGGGCTCGATGCAGACTCTTAGAATGAGGAGTTGACTCCATCTGGGTCAAGCAACCCCATGTCAGAACTCCATGGAGGTTGTGTCTGGGTGGAAAGAGCCAAACCTTAGCAATTCATTTGCTTCAATAGCGGAAGTAAGTCATTCATGGACTCTGAGAATTCAGAGGGAGGGTGCCTAATCAAGGGGAGGGGAATGGGACCACAGGTAAGGAGGAGATAATAGCTCAGCTAAGCCATGAAGGACCAGTACATTCTGACTCGACAGTCTGTATTAGAAAAATGTATCAGGCTCATGGATACTTTTTTTTTCTTTGAAAAGATTAGTTTCCAATACTTACAAATTAGGCAGTTCATATAAAAATGAAGGTCTCAGCATCTCTTGAAAGAGTCTATGAAAGAATCATAGGACTTATGGCCTAAGTCCTACATGGCACTAACTGACAGATGCTGAGGAGGGCGGCTCTCTCCAGACAGGCCATGAGCTCCATGTCTCTGCCTCAGCCTGTGTCCCACATATGTCTGTTCCAATCATTTGTCCTCCTGCCCTGCCTCAGGAGGCATTGCATTCAGAACTCCTGAAAGAGTGAAGGTAGGGTGGAACCGGGTCCTCTGATTCCCTGCTTGTTTTTTCTGCCAGGCCAGGCTGTGACATACAGAACATTCAGAAGGAAATCTGGACTGATTCTGCCCTGGTTATATTTCCCATAATCTAGCAGTGAAGTAGTTTTTCTTAGATTTTCTCTTTTCGTTATTTTCAATTGATAAATTCCCCAAGTTCCTTTTCTGATTGGCATCATTGCATAAAAAGAAGTCTTTTTTCTTGGATTAACTCTGGTGTCTGCTGCCTTTTAGGCCACCGTCTTTAAATTATTAAATACATGTTGACTTTTCACAATGGTAGGCACAAGTGGTGTTTGAATTAAGATACTTGCCCACTTCTTCCTCTGGTCTTCCCAGTGGAAAGTCAAATAAGCACGATTCTTCCCTGAACTCTAATTGATCCTCGTATTATCAGTCACCTACATTACAGACCACAATTGAAGCAAAGCTTAGTCTAGTGGCCCAGTCAAAGTTATCCCTGGTATCAGCTGAGTCTGCGGTTAGAACTCAGCTTGTGACTATAGTTAGTTTTCTGGTTGTGATCATGGGCTGGTGAGGGGACGTATTTTGATTCTCTCTGTCTTTGTCTTCCTTCTCCCTTCTCTCCTTCCCTTCTGTACTATTTACTTACATAGGCCTCTTTGGCAGACCTTCTCTTGACCACTGTCCAGGCCCTCATAGACTGGGCTCAACAGAAGGAGCTTACCCACAGAAGACAGAAAGCAGTTTGCAATGCTCAGCCAGGGTTAGAGATACCCATGAGTCTTTATAGGCCCAGTGATAGTCCTTTGGCAGGGAGAGGAAAATCTCTCCATCTCTTCATAATCCAGGGTGAGAAGGGATTTCATATCAAAATAAAGGTCTCAGCATCTCTTAAAAGATGTGTGGAGACTGGGATTCTGGAACTGTCCATGCAGTGGTCTAGGCAGCCAGATTCTCAGTGATGCAGGGACAGAGACATAATTTTTCTCTGGGCACATTTTCCAGGGCATTGTTAGAATGTCGCATAACTGCCAGTGAATGCTTCCTTAGGTTTTCAAAATGTTGCCTCAAAACTGGAGGGATAGTGTAGGCCATCTTCCTTATTCATTCTCCACATCTAGTGAAGTAGAAAGTAATTACATTCAGTGTGGTTTTGACAAATCAGCTGTTGACTGGTAGGTAATTACAGAGCTATTGCTCTGTGGCTCATCAATAAGCTCTGACCTCACCTTCTGATCAGTGGTTCAAGTCCTGACAACTTAATGTTTTTACTTGTTATTGGAGCCAGATGACCTAGAACTAGGAAGGTTCTTGAGGACAGCAAGTCCAGCCCTCTACCCGGGTGCTCTCTGAGGCCCAGCCTTGCACACAATCTCCCCTGGATAAAAGTTGCTGGAAGGAGTTTTTTTTTCAATACTTTTCCTGTTATGCTTTTTACCTCATCCCAACTACTCTCTCTTGCTCTGGTTCTGAGTCATGGTGGATGATGGGGAGACTAGGGGCCAACTGTGATTTAGAATGAGACTCTTCATGGACTGTACACACAAGGTGGCAGGAGCCTGGGTCCTGCATCTGCTGGTCACTCCAGTCGAAGGCTGAGGTGGGCCAATGACCAGGTCCTCCACATTAGGTTTTTAGGAGTCCCTTGTGTGTGTCTCAGAATGGGATTCTGATGGGAAACCAGAAGAGCTTCTCTGGGGCTGGAGTGGGGCCTCTGGCATTGACTTAGAATGATGCCCTTGGGAGCATTGAGTTGGACAAGTCCATGAAATCACCTGGGACTGGGTGGACATTTGAATGCAAGGCATTAGCATCTTCCATCACAGCTGTCACTCCCCTGTTTCATAGGCAGGAAACTAAAGTTGAGTGGGGTGTCTAAGGTTTCACAGAAGTAACAGAGCTGTGACTTGGATTCAGAACCTCTGTGTCTAAAACCACTGTTCTCTCTAGTGCTCTATACTTCTCATTAAAGCATCACTTGGGTAGAATGACATCTTGCTTTGCTGGATGCGTAGGTTCAGCTCCTCCATAAAGTGGTTCACGCTTTCTGAAATCTCATCCTGTATACTAGCTCACTGAGTTTCCCACCTGCTCCGTTAAATGAGGCAGACAAGGGTCATGATCCTTATTTCCTATGAGATAAAGTTGAGGTTCAGAGGGCTTATAGAGCTGGCCAAACTTTACACAGCTAAATAGCAAAGGGAGATAGCATGTAGCATACATTTAATGTATTCCAGGCATGCCACACCTATATTATCTCCTTTGAGATATGCCTATGTTAACCTGCAAGTCACATTCTTTCCCCTCTTACAGATGAGAAAACTGAGGTAGCATTCCCAAAAACAAAGTCGAAGAGCCAAGGAAAGAACCCAGCACCAAATCCCAAGTCCCTGCCCCTCCATGTTAGTTTGAGCTGCCATAGAAAATACACAGACTGCCTGGCTTAAACAACAGGAATTTATTTTCTCACAGTTCTGGAGGCTGGAAGTCTAAGATCAAGGTCTTGGTAGGGTTGTTTCTTCTGAGGTCTCTCTCCTTGACTTGTAGGTGGCCGTCTTCTTCCTGTCTTCACCTGGTTGTCCCTCTGTGCTCATACATCTCTGTGCCCAAATCTCCTCTTCTGACAAGGTTACTAGTCATTGAATTAGGACCAGCCTAAAATGACCTCATTTTACCTAAATAATGACCTCATTTGACATTGATACCTCTTTAGAAACCCTGTCTCCTAATAGAGTGACATTCTGAGATACTCGAGGTTAGGATTTCAACATATGAATCTGGTGAAGACACAATTCTGCATGTAACACACTCTGTGGGCATGTCTTCTCACCCAGGTATCCTGACTTCCCGCCCCCCCCCCCCGCCCCCGCCGCCATAATCCTGTCTCTCAGTAGGCTTGAGCTAATAGCTGAGCGGTAACTCGCTCCTCAAGGCTCCACT